TAATTGATTTCAAAGAGGAAGAGATAGGGAGAGAGAGAGATAGAAACACCAATGAGAGAGAAATATCGATCTGCTGCCTCCTGCATACCCTCTACTGGGACTGAGCCTGCAACTCGTGCCTATACCTGAGAATCTCTTAGTCAGTGGGGCAATGATGCTCATTCTCTGAGCTACACCAGCCGACAGTATAATTGTTTATTTTTCCTCCATTTATCCTGCTGAAATTCTCTGAGCTTCCTGGATTTATGGCATTAATTTTTGGAAATTACTCCATCATTATTGCTTCAAATATTGCTTCTCTTCTTCTTCTTTTTTTTTTTTTTTTTTTTTTTTTTTTTTTACATCTGGTATTCCTATTACACATATGTTATACTCTTTGTATTTATCCCACAGTTCTTGGATATTCTGTTCTTTTTTATTTTAGTCATTTTCCTCTTTGCTTTTCATTTTTGGAAGTTTCTACTTTCATATCCTCAAGCTCAAAGATCCTTTCCTCTGCTGTGTCCAGTCACTAACTAACCTATCAAAGGCATTCTTTATTTCTGCTATAGTGTTTTTGAACTCTAGCATTTCTTCTTGATTTTTTTTCTTAAAATCTTTATCTCTTTGCTTACATTAACCATATGTTCTTGCATGTTGTCTGTTTTTTACAGTAAAGCCCTTATCATAGATTATTTGCATGTTTGTTTTTTAATTCCTGGTTTGACAATTTCAACACTATTGTTATATCTGACTCTGGTTCTAGGTTGTTTAGTCTCCCCATCTGTATATTTTACATTTTAGTATGCTTTGTCATTTTTTGTTGTTGTTGTTGTTGTTGTTGTTGTTGTTGAAAGGTAGACACAATGTATTGGATAAACGAAATTGTGCTAACTAGGTGTTTATAAGATGAGGGTGAGGTGTCGGGGGAGAGAAGTATTCTATAGTCATGAAAACTCAGACTTTTGGTGAGTCTGTCCCGCTGAACTCTGAGTTTCACCAGTGCTTCCCAGTCCAGGCGGAACATGTTGGCTAGAGGGAATCCAATTTCCTTTTCCTCAGTTCAGCTGGGCTCTGATAAGACAGCAACCGCTTAGACCTCTGGTAAAATAGTTTTCCTGAGGGTAGGCCTTGTTAAGAAGACCACAATGCTCTGGACTGCAGTATTTCAAAGTGGTTCCTCTCCCCTGCTGGAAGCATGAGGACATTTTTCTCTGATGTACACGGTAGGATCTGGTTGAGCTCCCTCACAAGTGTGGGGGCCCCTCTATGACTGGAGTGTTTAACTCTCGGACTTGTCCATACTGAGTCTCCAGCAACTCATCAATTGCATTTCCCCCCTCCCCTGGCACTGGTTCCTGTGCAGGTTTCTGCTCTAGTAAGTTGTGATTCTCCATTTCACCCGTCTTTCCAATATTGGGGGGTAGTGAACTCACTTCTCCGATGAATCTGAGATGAGTTGTTGATTTTTCGGTTTATTCAAGTTATTACTTATTGTAAAGATGGATCGGGGACTTTAAGCTCCTGAGATGCCACAGGGAAAACTGCAAGTCTCTGAAGTCTCTTGATCAAGACGAGCCTGATAATTGGGTGGATTTGGAGCCCATTGCCTTTTAAACTTTAAAAAAGCAATGCCATCTTATTTCAAAGAAAATCTATGAATTTATTAAGTAATAGAAAATACAATATTCATAAAAGTGGGGTGGTTCTGTTTGAAGCATGTATGTTGGTGAAGCAGAGACCCAGAGTTTTATCCTCTCAGACCCTCCCCTGACGACCGTTCCAAATTGCCTCTGTGGAGTCCTTCATTAGCAAGGGCTAAGCCAGTGATGTCTGAAAGCTCTTGGGGGGCATGGGGAGGGGAGGGGCAGTTGGTGTATCTAAGTGGCCAATCAAGGCAAGGGGTACTGACTTCAGATATTTGCTCTGTAATCCCAGTGGAAAGTAAAGGGAGCCGGAGAGTGATGCAATTGGAATCAAAGTTAGATTCCTGTTTGCTGCACAAAAAAGACCACATTGCAACTTGCTCCTTTAAACGACCCTGCTGGTATAGGGTGTTATTTAGTTAACCCAGCCTAAGGGGAGGTTTTAAAGATGGGGGATTGCCCTGGCAATGAACAAATATGAGAAATAAATTTCCAGTGGGGCTGGGTTGCCTGCTGACTGTGATTTCCTGATGATCTATAACAATGGCTATTCACGAACAGCTGGCACATGTCTCCCTCGGACAAAGCCACTGGAAGCGCAGGCGCTCAGATTGGTGAACCAGAACCGTTTCCTTGGTAACAGTTAACTAGCACGTGTTTTATTGTTTCCAACTGCTTTTCCTGGGGTATTTGCAGGTGGTGGGAGATGCTTTCTTAAAGAGGGGTCATAACCTCATGAACTTTCAGATGTTGCAACAAATTGGGGAACAAAACATTTTTTTTCCCTTTCAAATATATTAAGTAAATCTTATTACATAGCATTTTCAAGACAGATGCAGCCCAAGAGTTTTTCAATTTTGCCATTATTTCCAGATGTTATCAATTTTAAAGTGAGAGTTCCATTCATGAATAGGAGTTATTGCAAGGAAATATTGACGATGTGTATGGAATACAATATTATTTCGGCCTTTTAGGGGAGGTATTCTAACTCCACATTTTACTATAAAATGTGAGAGCAAGTCATAAACTTTTTAATTGACCTTTTAGTGTTTTGTATATTTTGTTCATTAATTAATTTAGTTCATTGTTTTTTGCCATTGCTGGCTGGTTTTTGTTGTTTTTTTTTCTTCTTGTTTTTATGTACCAGAAAATTTATAGTGTTGCTATAAAATACAAGGCCAAAAAAAAAAAAAAAAAGGTAAGACTTGATCATATTAGAATTTTTTTTCTATATTTATTTGACATGTAGTTGAAAGGATCAGTTAATTTCCAGATGGTTAGCTCCCTCTTCTGTCTGATTTAGAGAATTTGCACCTTCTGAAACCACAGATGGAAGATACAGTATATGTAACAGAATTTTCTAGCTTGGCTAAAGGATGGATGTAGTTACTGTCAAATAGCAATTCATGAATTAGAATATGGAGGATGCTTCCATTGTAATAATTTGGTTTAAAATAAAGTCATCAACCTGCTGTAAATGCTGGCTGAAAGTAAATGAAAACATTAAAAACATTAATATTGTACTTTACCTGCAGATATCACTTATAGAAAATACAGACCTGATCAATCCCTTATCTGAACTCTATTTGAAATTCATGGGCTTTGGTTAAATAAGTATTTGTCAATTGGTTTGCACAGAATTCAAACAACTCAAGGCTGCTTTTGAGCCTGGCTTACGAGGCCTTTGCTGGCAAGTGTTCTTCATGAGTTTCCAAACATGCATCTACTTATAAATTAGATCAATGGCATTCAAATGCTCTTTATTAGGACGTTAGAACTTTTAAAAGGCTTTAAATAATTTTCTTTGAGAAATATTTTTCCTTTATTTCCTCGGGTCCAGTTTAATCACTACAATAAGAATTAGGGTTGTGCTCTGAAAACGAACACAGAAAGATCTTTTACATAAATTCATAACCATAGATCCGAAAGAGCTAGTAAAACTATTTATGATGGCTAGGGTACTTATATACAATCTGTGTTTTAAGAGATACCATAAAGTAACACATTTTGACAGTGAAGAGGAAAAGGCGGATTCATTTAGATTCAGTCCTTACATTGGGGACTCAGTGGCAGAGTGTTGGGGATTATATGATCCTAATTAGGTGACTATCTATTAAATGAGCACTGGTCACAATTCTCTACTTTGCATTTGTTGGGGTAGACACACCTAGAGACCCTCCAGAAGAGAAACCTCATTTTACTCCATACATTCTTGTGGGTCCTGACATTGCATTCTTACATGTTAGTTTCGTTAGAGAGGTACGACTTGGATATAGTGGAATGAGAATCAGAAACTATTCATTATCAAAACTTAGAGATTTAAGCACACATTTAAAAATTTTAAATTACATCATTATCTCCAAGTAGGTGAAATGATACTCCAAGTTATAAAGTATTAGGTAGCAGATCTCATTTGAATGAAGGATTGTTAGAAACCGCAGATCATAGGGCACCCAATTCAACTTCCCTTTCACAGCACTGAGCCCATAGAAAGTAGTATTCCTGTTAGGAGTCCTACAGCGAGGTGGGGATAGAAATGGTCTTTCTGGCTCCTGTTTGCATGCTCTTTTGGCCAGGCCACACCCTTTGCAGTGGTCAAGGAGTTCTACATTACCTGGCTTTGGCAGTGATTTCTTTCCTCCACCAAGTGGGCAGACACCTGCCTCCCATTTCTCAGATTTGCATCCTAGTGACATACTAGCTGAATGACTTTGGACAAGTTAACCAACCTCTCTGTGCTTCATTTTTCACTTCTATGAAATAAGGATAATAATAGTACATTTCTCAAAGAGTTAATAGCAGTGATGTTCATGGTTCAGTGCCTGGCACAATAGTAAGCACTTGACAAACATTGGCTAATGTTTTTATTATTGCAATTTTATGTGATTTTTTTAAGTCCAGTGTGTGCTGTGATCTTTATTTACTCTGTAGCATCTAACAATCACATTCTAAAACAAGGGAAGGTGCCTTGCCCTATGTGACTCAGTTGGAGCATTGTCCCAAGTATGGAGTGGTCACTAGTTGAATTGCTGGTCAGGGCACATACCCAGGTTGCGGGTTTGATCCCTGCTTTGTGCATAATGAGAGGCAACTGATCAATATTTCTATCTCATATCAATGTGTTGTTTTTTTCTCTCTCCTCTCTTTCTTAAATAAATTTTAAAAATAACATATCCTTGGGTGAGGATTAAAAGAAATAACAATGAAAAAAATAAAGCAACCAAAAGGGCACTTATATTCAAAGCAGCATTTTTTTTACTATTGCCAGAAGGTGGAAGCAACCCAAGTGTCCATCTGTGGATGTATAAATAAATAAAATGTGATATGTGCATACACTGGAACAATTCAGTTCTAAAAAAGAAGGAAATTCTGACACATATTACAACATGGATGAACCATGACATAAGCCAGTCACCAAAAAAGCAAATACTGCATGATTCCATTTGTATGAGATAGCTAGAGTAGTCAAATTCAAAGACAGAAGTAGAATGATGGTTGACAGAGGTCGGGAAGAGGCAATGGGGAGTTGTTTAATGAGTGCTGAGTTTCTTTTGCAAGGTAAAAAGAGTTCTGGAGATGATTGGTTGTACAACAACATGAATATCCTTAACACCACTGACCTGTAAATTAAAAAGTGGTTTAGATGGTAAATTTTATGTGTATTTTACCAAAATTAAAAAATAAATAGAAATAACTGAAGGGCCTAGTATAATTAGAGCATGTTAGTTATATTAATTAAGCCTGGACATTTTGACTTCTTGGCCTCAGAGTTCTGGGCCAGTGCTGTAGGCTAAATCCAAAATGCTTTTGGTGGGTGGTTAAGTGAATGATAACAGTTCTCAAACATCATATCTGTTTTGGTTCTGTTTCCTTTCTCTAAGATTGCTGACTTTCTGCCAAGGATGGATTTAATTTCCAGGGCCTGTAGTTTATGAACTCAAATGAAATTACACAATCATACTTTCCCCAGAGACACATGAAGAAACCCCGCAGAGACTTCAAAAATGCAAACACATGAAAAGCAAATATGATTCAGCAAGTTTATCATTAATAAAAATTCCTTTGGGGAGATATAGGTTGTTAGAAATAAAGTTAGAAACTGCCTTATTCAAAAAGCAAGCAAAGAGGTAGAGAAAGAAAAAGAGAAGAAAATTTCATCTTGGTTTAGGATTTTTTTTCTCCAAATTTCTGTTTATCATTATTGTCTACAGAATTGATTAAAAGCATCATACATTTCCAAGATAAAAAGCACACCTGGGAAAGGGTTTATGCTCAATTGGCATTTGATAATTTCTTATAATAATCTGTTGAAAAAGTTGTACCCTTTTATTTTAATTTAAGAATACTTTTTTTTTTTTTTTAAATATTTCACATTCTATTTATTTCAATTCAATAACATTTCCTGAATATCTTCTAAGTAGTGTCTTAGAGAGGAGACTGCTGGGTTGGATTTTTTTTTTTTAAGTTTAAAGAAGATAAATACTTCAAAACTTTTTTAAAGTAACTAAATGTACTAGGAATATTAATATATACTTATTCATCTAAATAACATTGCCATTATGATCATAGGACCAATATAAATTATTTGCAGAGGAAAATTCTTCAGCTATAATAAGAATATAACTGAAGAAAGTATATAGCAAGAATGTCTTCTCTGAGTCATGCTAAATGAAACAACCACCACATGAGTGGATGTGTCTGCTCAACCCAGCAAAAAAAAAAAAAAAAGAGACAAGATGTGTACTTATATCAGCTTTTCAAAAATAGCAATGGATAGCTTTGTAACAGGACAAGACTAAAGCATGTCCAATTCTATCACTTTCAAAATTGCACATTTAATTTTACTTTGTCCTTTTTACATAACAATCAGAAATTTCATTTTATATGTTATAAACTAAACATTGAAATACAATAAGTATCTTATTCAAGGGCACTAACACAATCCTAATTTTAGCATCTTCTTAATCAAAAGCCTGGGTTTGTGAATCCACCATTAGGCCTTTTATTAGCATCCCAAGAGGTCAATAACAATCTTGAAATCATAAAATATGCATAAAGAAAAACAGACTTACCAAGAAAACTAGCTGCAACAGCCCAAGACAAAAGGCAAATTTTGATGACATTATTCAGTTTTCTGTCTTTCACCATTAAATACTTTCTCTGATCATCTGAAGACTTTAGACAGAGATGAAAGAAAAAGAGCGGATGGTATTAATATTAAGAGCTATGAAAGGTGAAAAATCAAGCCCTGACAAACACATCTAAACACATAAATGTATTTAATAATAGAAACATTTCCTTTTCATTGTTAATATTTCTAGTTGAATAACCACCCCAAGGGTTCTTAATAAAAACATTTTACCCTTTTGAGAAGGAGTCATCTTTACGTTCATTTTGAAAGTTTCACATTTAGCTTTTAGCCTAAAGTGAACCTTTGGTGGCTTTTGAATCCTTTTCAAGTTGTGAAAACTTAGAGAGAAACTAAAGAGAAAGAAATGAGATCTGAGCCTACCTCTTTGAGCCCTGGAGATTTCTTTCCATGTAGTTTCTTAAATAGTGAGCCCTCAGTCCTTCTCCTTGGAAGTGATTAAATCAGCAGAAAGATCGACAATGTTGGCACATGTAATCTAAGTTTTGTGTAGGAAACAGACAGGCAGTCTACACTTTGTTATTCACTTGATAGACAGAGCCATTTTGACAGCCATAACCTTAGAAACCACAGGTCCTGCTGAGCTCAGCAGGAGTCAAATGCTGAGTACCATCTGTCAAAGCTTTATATCCCCCTCCTTCTCATCCAGGCCTTTACTATAAGATGCTAAAAAGAGCACTGAATGGAAGTCGCTAAACACAGTTAAACTCCTGTGCATTGTAACATTAATGTTGGGGTAAGAAATTTACTCTGCAATTTATCAAATGTGAGTAAACTGAATGAGGAATTCCAGGTCCTTTCTTAATGGTTATCAACAGAAGAAAGTGTGGTTTGAGGAACTCCATAATTACACTCCAAATGACTAATACTACAAAATAAGGAAATTGCACGTCGTTTGGTATGGGTTTTGTCAACGTCATAGCTAAAATGATAAATGTTTTGGAAATTTCTCAACTCTCAGGATTTTTTTTTCTTAATGTAGTTTAATTAAATGTATAAAAACAACAAATTTACTTTTTTCCAAAAAATAAAGGTTTTAATGTGTTAAGCTCTTGCTTTATAAAAAGAAATCTCATTCAAAGCATCCTCTTTCTCTCTTCTTTCTAGCATAGTCAATTCTAAAAAATGAACAAGACTAATCATAATAAAATCAATTAAATTAAGTGTGGTACAGCAGCTCATGCTGCATTTATATAGAAGACAATATATCAATTGATAATATAAAATAATTAGAAAGGCATTGCTTGTGACGAAATGCTATCAAAATGCTACATATTTTTAGAAGTGTGAATCTATTTTGCATTATACTTAAACTTTTTGTATTTTTAATGACTACTTTTAGGTATTATTTAAAATATTTATATTTAGAATACCATTTCTAGTGTATACAGTTCCTTTCAAAATGTAGAGGAAGTTCCACAAACACAGAATCATAAAATGTTAATATTTTAGAATTTAAAAGTTGAAAAAAGTGAGGTCTTTTGTAGTAGAATTATTCCAAATTTTAATTTTCAGTTAAATTTTGTACTTTATTTGGACTTATTCTTTGTTTTATCTAATCTTTCTTCCAATGTTCCCAAATGCTGAAAATAGTTATTTAAGTACAATGTCATGATAATAATGCAATATTTACTATTCGTACTAGATATACTATACTATAGCATGAAATTATTAATTATTTAATGGATAATATCATTGTCAAGAAGATATTGTAAATAAGTATTTTAAATAATTGATGATTATGTTTAGATAAGTGTGCACTTTTAAAATTTTCATTTTGCTCATATGTAGATTTTGCAAAGATTTGAGAGTCCTCTATATAAATGTTTGGAATACTTTATGCATTTTTTTTTAAATTGCACACCCAGATGGTGATTTTGTTGTTTAAAGTGACCAAGAAATGATTTAGTTTACAAGGTCAAAATGTGTTAAATGATAACAAATAGTTTCTGATATTACAAGAATGGATTTTTGTGCCTCTGTTTTACAAGAGACTTCAGCCATATAGATTTTCGTGGACATACGCATGAATGCATTTGAACAAAGTCTGAAGAGGTAATATTTGAGTTGGAGCTTTGCCCCTTCTCTGAGCTTTCTTCACCTGCCCTTTGTCCTAAGAGGTGCTGATCTCATTTGGAAGCTGAGGAAGGAAGTAGCCTTTGCTGGCAGACAGGGTCTCTGCTCTGTACCCACATCTTCCACCAGTGTGGTAATGCCTGAACTATGATATTTTCCCCTAGGCTTAGGACACAACTCTCACCGCATTGAGAGAGGAGATTCAAAGGCAAATGCCCCGAAGGAAAGGAGCACAAGGACTCACATTAATCTTGCTGCCAGTTATTCTGAGAGCAAAGAGGAGCTGAGGGGAGCAGGAAGGGAGGCACCTCTAGATGGAAGAGGGTGTAGACCAGAGAGATGAACTTGGGCTTCCTCAGGGTTTCATCTACGGAGCTGGTCGGTGCGCATAGAGTATACTTGCCTTGCAAAAAGCATGTATAGACTTTCTTGATTTTTCACTGTTATAGTGTCATAATCTCAGAGTTTGAGGGATGGTAAGGATTGTTTCATGGATTCCTTCATTAGAGATGAAGAAACCAAGGCTCAGACAAGTCTACTCTTGGTTATCTAAACCTTGGTTGGTTTGTTTTTTAAAGCCATATTTTAATAGGATTTGACTGTGTTTAAATCCTTCTAGAAAATGTAACATTAATTTGCTCTATAGTCTGCCAGTAACAAAAATACCCTATATTTTGTATTTTATGTATCTCTACTAATAAAAGGGTAATATGCTAATTAGAGGGAGACCTTTTGGGAGACCTTCCCGGATATCCTTCCAGACAAAGCCATGATGGCAGGGCTGAGGCAGAAATGGTTAGAGGCAATCAGGCCAGGAGGGGAGGGCAGTTGGGGGGGGGGGGTGATCAGCCAGTGTGTGTGGGGGGTGCGGTTGAGGACAAGTAGTCCGGCAGTGGGGGGCAGTTGGGAGCAATCAAGTCGCAGCCAGAGTGGTTAGGGGCAATCAGGCAGGCAGGCAAGCGGGCAAGTGTTTAGGAACCAGAGGTCATGGATCACAAGAGGGATCTGGCCTAAACCAGCAGTCAGGACATCCCCAGAGGGGTCCCAGATTGGAGAGGATGCAGGCTGGGCTGAGGGACACCACTCCTGCCCCCCTCCCCCCGCCCCCCATGCATGAATTTCATGCACTGGGCCACTAGTATATTTATTATTGCAGCTGTTTCTAAAAAGAGTGGAGGCAGATCCTTAGGTTTACACTAAAATTTAGAATTTACAACATACTCTTTTGCATTGACTTTCTTAATTGATCTGGCATAATACCTTTTCTTTTTTTCTTTTTTTGCTACAGGAGAAGAATCTAAATGTCATATCATTGTTATGTTTGTAGTCAACTTATGTCTACTGGATTCATTGAGCATCTGTTAGTCACATGGGTCTGTGATAATCTGCGGGGAGGCACATGATAACATTCATTCAGTCATTTAATCCCTATGTTCATAGCAGTGCAATTTACAATAGCCATGATCTGGAAACAGCCCAAGTGCCCATCTATAGCTAAAAGGATAAAAAACTATGTTACAAGTACAGCATGGAATACTATGCAATTATAAAAAAGAAGGATCGCTTACCATTTGAGATAGCATGGAGGGACCTGGATAGTATTATTTATCTTCCAAACTATTTTTTTTTTAAAGTTGATGTGTTCAAGGTAATGGGGTGAGTAATTCAGAACCAAGACTTGAAGTCTTCTTCCTACAATAACAAGATACCAATGAGCAGGGGGAGCTGGGATGGAGGGGTGGTTGTTCATAGCCCAGATGGGAAAGAAACAATCATTCCGTAGGGACTAGCTGAGGCGGCAGAAAGGGCAGTGTGTGTGATTTGGAAGTTCTGAGTTGACTCCTACTACCAACAATCATCTACTGCCTAACTTTGGTCTTTTCAACTGTAACATTGATTCATGGATTCTTGCTGGTATTTTGTGTGGAGGTTTTGAGGCTTAAATAACACACCCGAGTGCTCTTGGGGTAGAGGGAATCACTGTGTTGGTGTTAGGGCAGCATCTTGCTCGCTAAATCCCAAGTATGGAGCTATTGTAAGAAACTGTGGTGTAGTGCTTCTCAGACTGGAATCTGCATATGAGTCACCTGGGATCTCCTTAAATTCTGTTCAGTAGGTCTGAGATAGGTCTGGGATTTTACATTTCAAACAAACTCCCAGGTGACACCTGCTGCTGCTGCTGATCCATGGACCACACTGAGAAGCAGCCATAGCAGCCATCTGAGTGGTTGTTCGCTTGTACAAGTGACTGTCTCCATGGTACAGAGCACACTGACCACAAAGCAATTTTAGTAATGGAAAAGATTAAAGATTCATAGTAGTTGGCCAGATGCTCCTAAAGTGGGGTCTACTATGCTGGAGTGTGTGAATATTCCTAAAGTGGGATCTACTGTGTGGAAGAAGTGCTATCAATATGTTTCCTGTCCAAAGCTGGAGATCGCCCGGACCTAGGAATGTCCCCTTTGCTGAGATGTGGAAGGAAGTGAGAAGCAGCAACCTTGAATAATGGAGTGCTAGGGGAAGGTCCTAGGTGTTCATTATTATCATTTGCTTTTTCTGAACACAAACCCATGAACGACCTTTTCCATCCTTATTTTATATTGGAGTTTTCACCAAAGTCCCTTTAAAAGATGGCCGAGAAAATTTGCCAGCAGCAATGTAGAAGCCATAACGCATTGTCGCCAATCTTTCCAAACATCTGTTGTGTAAAAAGAAGCACGATCCTGCAGTGGCTGGGGCCAAGAGGGCACCTCCGCAGTGGGTGCCCCAGGGCTGCACTGAGGAGGCCCTTTCTCTGCAGGCAGGCTGCCCCGGGAGGCTCCAGCACCTGTTGGTACACGGTCCTGCTGGCTTCTGTTGTTTGCAATCGCCGTCAAAGGCTTCCCAGGAGAAAGGACTGGGACAAACCTCCTCAGGGAACAAGAAAAGCAGGAATGTGGCAGTTGGCCTCACAAATGTGATCATGTTCCAGGTCCCAGTGGGGACTCTCATTTCCCTTTCACATCACCACGAGCCTCGTGCCAGAAGGAAATCCTTTGTCTTTAGGTACTGTGGCTGACGAGGGTCCTTTCAACTCAGGTGGCATCGATAGCCTTGTTTCATTTTTCTAGAACTGAAACGTCATGATCAGTAATTGGAGGTACACAGCCATTGGGCCCTGTGATGCGTTGTCCATGAGAAAGAGATATTCCGAAGTTGGGAGCAGAGAAAAAAAATAGTCTGTCCATTAGACCTGAGTTTTGAAAACTTAGCATAGCTTTTGAGGAAACATTTAGAGGGAGAATGTAATAAATGTGCTTTTATTATTTATTTTTGTTCTTCAGACGTCCTTGGTAGAATTCTGCAGTTACTTTAGCTTGATAGTTCAAAGGGCTCTGTTCTTACATGTCATTATAAGCCTGCATTTTTGGATATGTGAACAGGTTTTTTTTTTTTGTTTTTTTTTTTTAAATATATTAAAAGCAATGTGGAAGTAGGAAAGTTTTTCTCTATTGATCATCAAAGTCTTGATTTAAAATTTAAAATGCAGAAAATAGTTTTTGAAATACAGATGACTACTTTTTAGGGTATGATTAGTTAGATCTTTATGATTACAAGTTTGCTCAGAAAAAGATGCAATTTAATGCTCTAAAAATAGTGTTAGCAATTAAAAGCTGCTATCTTTCTTTACCATTCTAATGGCTTTAGAACAAAGGGATGTTATTGTCTGAATTTCAGAATATAACATTTATAAAAAATGAAAATCCCAAATTTCCTTTCCTCAAAATATTAATATGAATGATCTAATTGAGTTTTGATTATGATAAAAGATATTAGAGACACTCAGGATTTTGGAGCCTTTTAAAAGCTACATAGCCAGAAAAATATAGTGTAAGCTTATTTACTTTAATGGAATATAATGTACATTTAGGAACTTTATTCACAGTGAATTTGCCTTAAGAGGAAACAAAAGGTCTGTCTTTGAAATGCTCTCCCATTTTTGACCAGTATAATAATTGAATTTTGGTTAAATTGATATTTATTAATTTCTTTGGTTCATTTAAGGTTTTACGTATATTTTAAAATAGAATAATCTCTTTTATAGATAATATTTTATTAGTAAGCTATAAAATGATGTCTTCAATATTAAAATCAAGTCATTTGGCTCCCAAATAAGTCACCATTACTTTCTGTTGGAGTTTTTAATTCTGCTGTGTTATTAGGATTTGACATTTTAATATAAATTTCAAATATATGATTTTGCAATGTATATCCATTGCTAATGAATGTAATATGAATTTTAAAAGTGTTTTTAAAACTGGTGTGAATCATAAGTAAGGAAATCTGATTTTCAAAACGGCTGGTTTTAACTGTTGTAGAATTTGGGATGAATCAATGTAAAACCCAGAAAGAAGAAATATGGACACCTTACTTAAAGGGCACAGTTGCATACACTTAGAGTTAAAACTGTCAGCTAAAGGCAGGTATATGTTCACTCTTTCTACAGATAGAGCAAGGCCTCTTGCAGATGGGATTGTCCTACTGAGTGGGAGACCTTTCTGAAAGCTTGGTTCTCACCCTGACAGTGATCCTTAGCAGCAAACAGGGAACTCTCCAAGCTGGGGATAATTGAAGCCCTTGTAAAGGAGAGGTGGAATACTTCCAGCCCTTGCCTATTCTCATAATGGAGACATACATTGCAAGTCTTTCTTTCAACCTCTCAAGTCCCTCTTGCCCTTTTAAATATTGGCAAGGGAATATTGACTCTTTAGAGCACATGTGTCAAACACAAGGCCCGCGGGCCAAATCCGTCCCGCCAGGCCTTGCAATGTGGCCCGCACCGCGCTGTCATCACTGCACTCCGCTGTGTTTCCATCACAATGACAGTTTATGACTGTTCAGTAAACCATTCGGCCCTCGATTTAGGCTGGATTTTAGATTTTGGCCCCTTCTCTGATTGAGTTCGACACCCCTACTTTAGAGGGACCTATTGTCTCAGGAAGGGAACTGGGGCTGTGGGGTTGTGAGCTGTCTCCTGCTATTCAGTTTGTCCAGATGTAGAGGCACCGGTGAGCATGCTAGATAGAAGCCCAACTCTGGAGGAGAGGAGCCTTTGGGTGTGAACGCCCCAGCAAAAGTCTCCCTCTCCACAGAACCCACACAGTCTCCTTTAAGATGTGTTAGAGGAGCTCTGAAAGGAGTAAATCTTTCAATGTAGAAAAAAATTGCCTAAACACATGTGACCAGATTTTAGCTTTTAGCTAAAAGTAAAAAATAATTATGACACTGTGTTTCCTAAAAGCGTATATTTTTTAAACATACTCAAAGCATATGTTTTCATTTGTAAGCCCATATTGTAACTGACTTTCAGAAACCTTTGAGTATGTTTTGTCAGAGTAAAATGCTGTTTCACGATGCTGTTTATTCAGCCTATAGACTAGATTTCACCCAGACAATATCCTTTCTGGTAAGGTGTAGTATATTGTTGTTTATTTGTATATAGTTTATGGTATATTTTTACAATATATTTTTTACAGTACATTTTTTCATGCCAGGCAACTTAAGGGAGCTAACAGAGGCATGGCATGATTAAGTGTATAGGTCACAAGCTAAATTTACATGGAGAGCCAACTTTCCAGCTTTGAGCAAATGACTCAACTGTAATTTTATGCAAGCAGAGTGACTGACCTTTCAAATGTTTGTTGGGCTTCAAGTGTCCGGAATAATCAATATATACATTATTGTTTATATTTTATGCTCCTGATCCCATTAATGTATGCCTGCAGAGTGCTGGGATGCCATTAGTTTCTGATACTTGTGAAGCTATTGGGTGGCATTTATCAAACAGAAAGGCAGCACATATTGACTGGTGACAATTTTTGCATTTCTTCAGCTCAATGTTTCATGAAGTGCTTATCTAGTTTTGGTAAGCAAGGCTTTTATTGCTCTGAAGCCTCCTCAATTAAATAATAATGAACCAATTTGTTTAAAATGAAACTTTAACGTGCAGACTCATTAATTTCTCCATTGCAAGTGCCAGAAGATAGGTTCTTGGCCAGAGGAGATGAGAGAAGCTTGGTGGAGTGGACTGATTGTTGGGTGTGGGAGTCTGGAGGATGGCTGACTCTGTCTCTAACTGACAGGTCTCTTAATGTCCTTGAGCCTCTGATTCCCTTTGTCAATCAATAAGTGCCAAACTGAGACATGGGGAAATCTCTGAACTATCCTACCTGAATAAAGAAGTCAGGGAAAGTTGTATCCCTTTTGTTTTGCCCAAAATATATGGGACACCTTGTGGGTGTCTGGAAAAAGAGTATTTGTTAAGTGTGTATACGTATCATAATATATATATTTATATATAAATAAATATGTAAAATGTATAAAATAAATACAAATGTAAATTTATTATAAGTATAAATAACTCACATATATAATTATATATATATATATATATATATATATATATATATATATATATATATATATATATATTTATATACAGGCCCTTCCTTTTTTTTCTTCTCTATTTCACTTTTTTCCACTCCACACAACTTATCCCCAACCTGCCCCAAAAGTGCTCAAAGTGAAAAGTGCCACCTGTTATTGAGGCAGAACAGGAACTCTGAGTTTTCATTGAAGAGATAGGGGACAGCTACCCAATTCTGTATTAATTAACTCTCTCTTTCTAGGTTTTTATTATCGGATAGTCTAATGACTTAAAATTAACCATCCACGGTCCAATTAAAAAATCTTGAATTGATGAATTGGTTTCTAAGTTCTCTGTGTTATCGACAAGTTGCTGCATCACTGAAGCTATAAGACATGCCATCCATTATTAAATTTGATGGCATTAAAAAAGATAAATTAGCTCTTTTAGGCAGAAATGAGTTCTCACAAAGGCTGCCCTTCTAAAGTGGATGTGGTCTCAATTTTCTTTGAATCTCAACCCACTTATTTGTTTGAGTTTATTCTGGTTTCAGTTAGATTTTATTGATTGTTTAGTAAACATTAAGTGACAATAGAGGCTTCTTAATATGAGCAGGCAATAGATAATCAATGTGTAATGCAGTTTAAGTGATAAAATACTTTTTTCCGGGAATATAAAAATCTTCCCTAAGAACTGGAAATGAAAGCTTTGATTAAAAAAAATAATATTTACTATGAAAAATTTTAAAAGGAAACTTATCTCTTCAATGTATAAAAAATTAAATTTACTCTTAAGACAATAGCAATCGATAGGAACATATTAATAAAACATGCTATTACTTAGGCACACTTAAAATATATACGTATACATTTTAGGAATAAATTAGCATGCTTCGAATTTTTGTGGTTTGTGCTATGATAAGGGTAAAAGTCAACAAATACAATTGAAAATAACATTTAGAATTTGAGCTCAATAGCTGACTTATTATAGAGGTAAAATGTTCTTACCTTGGCTTTTGCAGAAGTTCTTATTCTTACTATTATTTACTTCTTCAGCCTAAAAACAATCTTTTGTTTCATAATCAGAATCTTATTTTTCTAACATTGTAAATATGAATTTATCATTAATGGCTTCAGTATCTGCTGCAGCACAAGATGTATTTGGGGGAAAATGACTTAAGCAAGTTTTTAATACCTCAAATTGGACCCGCCCTTTATCCCACAATCCCTTTTGTGTGTCTCATTATTGATCAGATTTATGCTGGTTTTTGAAGCTCAGGAATTACCAGGGCAGTGTTTTATTTGACTATTTTCTCTAGCAAATTATTGCCATCTCTGACCTTTCAAAAATGTTTATGACGAGGTGTTTGCTGTTAATTGCACATAGAAAGGAGTGAAAAATCTTCCAGTCAGCTCTTGTATTTACCAGAAGGTAATATTTTCTTACAAAATCAGAATCTTAGAGAAGGCAGATTTTGGTGGTGGTGTTTACTTTTACATGTAAGTTGAGAATATTACTATTTTCTAATTAACAGACCCATTAATAAAAAAAGTAAAGAAAGGATGTAGCTTTATGTAAAGTATGTTGTAGTTAAACTGACCTAGATCTGTTTTCATTATACATCAGAGATGCAAGAATGGGTATATAAAATCACAGATTGGAGAGGACCTCTAATTCAATCCATTTGATTTTGCAGATTGAGAAATAAATGTATAGAAATAACTCATTTGTCTTCCGTCACTTAACCAGTAAGGACCACGTCAAAGTTCCTTGACCACCTATCTCGTGTTTTATGATCGCCAGTAAGAAGCAAAACTGTACACAAATGCTGGCGATTATATTACTTGGGTTGCCTTTGTGGGGACAATAGCCTGCTAATGTCCACGTGGATGGGCAAACTTTTCAGTTGCTTACATAACAGAGAGGCATTCTATATTGTTATAAGCCCCCACTTGATTTGGCCTTGCTCGCCACTTTGACTTTGTTTCTCACCACTATGCCCATCATCCAGGACCCTGTCACACTGCTCTTCCTTCTGTTCCTGGGAGCCTCTCAAGCTCTTCCTCATCTTGGCTTTTCTTCAGCCTGGGATAATCACCCCCCATATCTTTCCTCGGCTGCTTTCCATTTAGATTCCAGCTCAAATGCCACCTCCTTAGACAGGTCTCTCTTTACCATCCAATCTATAATAAGAGTATAATATGCTAATTAGACCAGACAGCTGAACAACCTTCTGGATGACCTTCCAAATGAAGCTGGAGCTGTGAGGACCGTCCGGGGCTGCGAGGGGCTGCCAGGGCCAACCCCCTTACACGAATTTATTTCTTTCTTTCTTTTTTTTTTTTTTTTAATATATTTTATTGATTTTTTTTTTTTTTTTTTTTTTTTTACAGAGAGGAAGGAAGAGGGACAGAGAGTTAGAAACATCAATGAGAGAGAAACATCAGTCAGCTACCTCCTTTACACCGCCTACTGGGGATATGCCTGCAATGAAGGTACATGCCCTTGACTGGAATCAAACCTGGGACCCTTGAGTCTGCAGGCTGATGCTCTATCCACTGAGCCAAACCAGTTAGGGCTGCACAAATTCCTTGCATTGGGCTTCTAGTGTAAGTAATCATGAGAATAGTAATAGAAGTGGTAGACCAGCAGTTAAACTCTTAATGCCAGGGACTATTCTATTCACTTATAGAAAGCACTTATTAACTCATTTAACCCTCAAAACCACTCTGAGAGGCATGTATTATTATTAATTTCATAGGCAAGGAAATTGGGGCTCAAGAAAGTGACCCAACTCCCTTCGGGTCACACCACTGGTTAGTGGCACAGCCAGGATATGAACACTGGTGATCTGGCCTAGTACTCAGAAGCTCCTTTGTCTTTCATAGCCTCCTCCCTTGTGATTGTCTAGCCTGGGGCCCTATTTGATGTTTTCTGTGGCATTGCTTGCTAGTTGATAAACTCTGCATTTTTTGTTATGTTCAGTTGCTATCTACTTATCTCACCTCCACCCCATCAGACCCTACTGTATGTTCCATGCGGGCTTGGCCTTGCCTCTCCTGTTCACTGCTATTTTCATCTGGGTCTAGAATAATGATTGCATCTAGTGGTATAGTAATAAATACTGCATAAACAGTGAGAGCAGGCAGCAGGGACAGTGAGTATGGAAGAGCTTGTTGGTTGGGGATGATTCCCTACTGAATATGGTATGAGAATCCCCCCAGCAACAGAAGCCAGATGGATAAGAGTGGGAATGATAGAATGGGGATATTAAGAATGGGCTCAGTTTCCAAAAAGATTGGCAGTAAGGGGGTGAGGGGATGCTTTCAATAGGAATCTTCCATCCTTGCAACTTAAGAATGCCCATTTGCAGGTTTATAATGGTTACAGGTATGTGAAGACTCATCTCTGTCTCATTTTCCCAATTATTTGCTGAAAACCTGAAATAATGGTTTGACCACAGGGTTATCGTCCTTCTTCATGCATGTCAACCAAGGCTGTACGCCTGGGCAGTTATTTCCCAGGACTATCCTTGGGGGAGCAGACTTCCCCTTATCACTTTCTTTAGCATCATGTACAGTGACTGGCCTTTCAATCCCAGGAAAAACATCACTTGTCCTTTTCTACACATTCTTTGAAGCTTCTGAGAGCATTACAAGTGTCATTTATTTTCTTGAGTTTCACACCAGGGGAGAGATCAGAGAAATAGTGAGTGTCATTGTGAGGGGCTCTGAACCATCCTCATTGTGGTCTTTGCCCTGCGTGGTCAACCAGAAACATTTCCATTACATCATTTGGTTCCCCATGTGTGCAAGAAGTAGCCCTTCGTCCCCAAAACAGCATTTACTACGATCCAAGGAGGGCGATGCCAGACGTTTCACATGTAAAAGCTTACCCCCCCTTAAAGGTGGTTTTGTATAGCTCTACCTCTGGTTTCTCTAATAAGGCGCTGGTACAAAACCATAGTGGAAAGAGAACATCTTGTTCACAAAGACTCTCTTTATTATGAAACCAGGTACTGCTATTCTTTCAGGCAAGAAAACATTGCCCTCATTGCGCATGTAGTAAAATGCGTTCTCTCTTTCTCAGCATCAATTACACATAAAGCTCTGTGGAATTATTTCCTTTGTGTATGTGTCCTCTTGTTAGCGATATAAATGGTTAATAATTGATGTCGAGCCAGCATTATAAATTAGACAGGAAATATTGAGTTTTAAGTGCACATGGTGTAGCATGATACAACCTGGCCCAGAGTGTCTAATGGAGGTGCTGTGGGCATTTGGGGACAGGCAAGTCTTCCTTGTGAGCAACTTCTCCAGGGCTTTCCCGGACGCGGAGCATCCTTAGTCCTGGGTCTCAACTTCCAGGAGCACAGTGGTTCTCAAGCTTCCTAATGCCATGACCCTTTAATACAGCTCCTTATGTTGTGGTGACCCCAACCATAAAATTATGTTTGTTGCTACTCCATAACTGTAATGTTGCTACTGTTAATGAATCCTAATGTAAATATCTGCATTTCCCGATGGCCTTAGGCTCTACAGCAGCGGTTCTTAAACTGTGGGCGTGACATTGCGATTCATAACAGTAGCACAATTACATTTATGAAGTAGCAACGAAAATGATTTTATGGTTGGGGTCATCACGACATGAGAAAGTGTATTAAAGGGTCGCAGCATTAGAAAGGTTGAGAACCACTGCAGTAGCACCTGCAGTTATAGTAACAAGGAAAAACACCATCACACGTTTGCAATTGACCTGTAGAGGTAGGTAGCATGTCTCTTGGTCATGACCTAGCTCAGCCCTCATATGCACAAATGCAGGTGGTGCCAGAGGCTAGTCAGATAACATAAATGTGTTCATCTGACCTGATGGAAGAGATTAGGGAGTGTTGTGGCCTGTGCTTGTGAGGGAAATACGCATGATTTACTCAGAGATGTTCCAAAATAAAAGTTTAACAGGCTTTAACTCCTTGCAGCTCCCTTAGTGTTTTAAGATCACCCATTCAATCGTCTGGCCTTTGCTTTTCCATCTGCCCCCTCTTAATTTCCACCACACTGACCCTTTCCTTTACCACAGTGTGCCCATTACACTGCATGGTGGTGTATAAATGCCAGGGTGTTTTCCCTCTGCTCAGCTGTGAGCAAGGATGCTGGTCTTATTTTGTTACTGTGTCTCAAAGAATCTAATATATTGCTTGACACATTGTAGGCTTGCCTTAAATACCAGTTGAATGAATGGAGGTCTCTACACAAGTTCTGAGGAATTTTAAGAGAGACATTGATATTTTGAATTTCTCGAGTTCACATCTGCCGTGGGTCCTTAGAAGGCACTTCCTTTATGTCCTCTCCTGGCAAGTGAACCAGGGCTTATGTTCAAGTCCCTGCATCTGTGCCATCTGTTCAGTGGTGCATTGGTTTTGATGCACCATTGGAATAATTTTAACCCGAGATTGTAAAATTTTGTTTCATGGACTCTTGTCACTATGCTTTGTCCCTGCTGCTTTCTCAGAGATGTCAGGGTGCAGTCGCCTGTGATTCTTCTATGCTAGCGATGTGCTCAGTTTCTTTTTACAGTTCATGGCAGGGGATGAAGGATTGCCTCTGCCCAGTGATGTCTGGCCTCACTGGTGTTGGGTTGTGATTTTAATGGAGCTAAAAACTCTTGTCATTGCAAAGTCAAGACTTCCCAGAGTACGTCCTAGATTCTCTTTTCTTCCCTTCCCTCCCTCCCTCCCGCCCTGTCTCCCTCTCTCCCTCCCTCCCTCCCTCCCTCCCTCCCTCCCTCCCTCCCTCCCTCCCTCCCTCCCTCCCTCTCTCCCTCCCTCTTTTCTTCTCTTCCTCCCTGTCTTCCTCCCTCCACCCTTCTCCCAATATCCTCTTAATTTTAACTTGTTTCTTTGGGTTATAGTTATCTATGAGAAATCAATCTTCTCCACCTTCTTCCTGCCATCTTATTTGGTCATAAACCCCTAAACAGAGCAGGAAATATAGAATTCAAAGGTAACAGAGTTAACTTTTCTGTCCCTAGGAGCTTAAGCAACTGCATCATCAACATTTTATCTAGAAAATCTTCATATTGGTGGGTTGAAAATTCCCAGATGCTGACAACATACCTCCTCTTTGTCCTTCACAGGACTGTTTCTTGAG